AGTTTCCTTTGGCAACAGTTACTTCCAAGCATCAGCTAGGTCAGTGTGGGTGGTTCTGTTTGAAAGAGCAGCAAAAGCTCGAGAGGTGGAGGTGGCAAAAATCACAAGTTGCTTCAATAAATGTCAATTGTTTTTGATAAGTTGTACTCCATGGATTCTACCCATTTCTACAATATATTACCAAAAGTATTCACTCACCCATTCAAACCATTGATTTCAGGGTTCCAATCACGCCTATGGACACAGGTCTGTAAAGTCAAGCACCTAGGCATGCAGATTGCTTTCACAAACATTTGTGAATGAATGGGTCGCTCTCTCAGGAGCTCAGTGAATTCCAGTTATGAAAATATCTTGCTACTAATTATTCCACAGTCAAATGTTAGTGGTAATGTAACAAAGAGGAATGACAGCATCTCAACCATGAATTGGAAGGCCACATGAAATCACAGAGCAGGGTCAGTGGATGCTGAGGCTCACGGTGCGCAGGTGTCATCAACTTTCTGCAGACGTCCAAACTCCGTGCGGACTCCAGATTAGCTCAAGAACAGTTCATAACGAGCTTCATGGAAGGGGTTTCCATGGTCGAGCAACTGCATCCAAGCCTTCATCACAAGCACAATACAAATTGTAAAGTACACCGCTACTCGATGACTCTAGAGCAGTGGAGATGTGTTGTCTGGAGTGACGACTCACACGTCTCCATCTGGTAATGTGATGAATGAGTCGGGGTTTGGTGGTTGCCAGGACAACGGTACTTGTGTGACTGCATTGTGACAGGAGTAAAGTTTGGTGGAGGGTAGATTATGGTGTGGGGTTGTTTTGCAGGAGTTGAGCTCGGTCCCTTAGTTCTAGTAAAAGGAACTCTTAATGCTTCAGCATACCAAGACACTTTGGACTATTTCACACTCTTAACTTTGTGGGAACAGTTTGGTAATGGCCCCTTCCTGTTCCAACATCTCTGTACACCAGTCCACAAAGCAATGTCCCAAAAGACATGGATGAGCGAGTTTGGAGTGGAAGAACTTGACTGGCCTTCACAGAGTCCTGACCTAAACCTGAAAGAACAGCTTTGGGATGAATTAGAGCGGAGACTGTGAGCCAAGCCTTCTCGTCCAACATCAGTCTGACATCACAAATGCCCTTCAGGAAGGATGGTCAGAAATTCCCATAAACACTCATAAACCTTGTTTATATCATAATAAACCACAGGTTCATAAGTGTGCGAAGGCAGACTAGCAAATACTTTTGGCAGCATAGCATATTTGAGGTTCTCTTTGGAAGGGATATATATAGGCTTGAATATCAAAAACTCCAAGATACTCTTTTCAAAATAAAATTAAAATGTCTTTATTTTCACAACAAGGTTATGTAAAAACTCCAACGCAGTTTGGCACACAGGCCCACATCAGGGAATAAAATAGAGTCCATGAATCAACTAAATATTTTCTATTAATATTTCACCAAAAAGGGCCTTCCACGCGGTGTGTTCTACTAATAGCAAGCTTCCACCTAAGGGTGAAGCCAGTGAAGCCCCACCAACAGGAGATGTCTTCAAAGAGCCCAGATAGATAATAACATCAAGTCAAACATTCATCCAAATTCATTTCATGTCAAACTATAAGAACACAGTAAAACATTTACTGGGGCCATTTGCGTTCTTGATAAATGTTTTGAAGAGAAACATGATTGAAACCAGTCATGTTTGTGTGCTAAGTGGAAACAGCTGTGAGCTAACATGTTCACCATTCCTACTGTGTAGACGGGGGGAAGGCAGCAGTGGTGTGTTTGCCATCTTGTTTTCATTTTTTATTTCTTGCTTCAGTTAACTCATCTTTGAGAAACACTGAAGTCTGGATCCTGCGCTTCCCGACTGGCTGACAGTTATTTCAGCCTAGCTTAGTTTAGCTTTGTCAGGAAGACAACTAGTGCAGTTGCTTTTACCCAAAATGTTGTAAATCTGAACATAAAAAGGTTTCAGTTTTAAATACGTTTATCTTGTGTCCCTCATCTGGAACATCTTCTTCACTTTCTTGTTTCTTTGCCTTACATGACATATTTTACCCCATATCCAACATCCCCTCCACTCTTCCTCTCATTTTTCCTCTGTGTCACAGTGAAAAGTGAATAATTCATATATAGGCTGCATGCTGGTGGAGATGAATCATGTGAAAAGAGCAGGATACACGTGCTCCTCTGAGAGCAACTCTCAAAAGACCCCAGCAGTATATGAGGATTGGCTCCACGCTCTGTCACAGTACTGTACAGACCTCAGCCACTCCATCCCAGCTTGCATGACAGTCACACGTGAGCTCAACACCAGCTTCTCTGCCCTCAGTGGCAAGAAGCCACCCAGAAAGACCACGAAGTAGCTTCTCTCTGCATTGTCTTTTCAGTAGATGTCTGTGTGTTCAGGCAGATATCATAACCTGTTTATCTAATAGTTGTTTTCATTCTCAAAATGAATTTAGGACAAACTCAGATCATTTTTAGGTCAAATTAAAAATCGGGACCAACAGGTTAGGTCCAAAGCTTTTTTTCTCCAATGGGCCGCATATTTCTGGGGATGCCCAGGCCTGTTTTGGAGCAATCTTTCTTGGGCTTATAGGAGAACACAGTTGACGCACACATGCACATGTACCATTAACACGAAGTCTCACAGCTAGATCTGTAAACACTGACAGTATTCAATCACAATTCACACCAGGGATGTCAACCTCATTTTACATTGTGGGCCACATTCAGACTACTTTAACCTTAAGTGTCCTGAACCAGCGACGCGTGATATTGTGTAAAATTACAGACTGTCAGACTGTCCCATCATTATAAAATATACAATTTATTTAATTAAACTTTTTATGCAAATCCCCTGTAAAAACAGCAAATAGTGAAAAATAGGAACTGTCTGTCACTTAATTGTTTCTTACTTAATTGAGGGGGGTTCTTTATCAATAGAAAAAGCTTTAAAGGTCATGAAAATATCCCCTCCTTCACATTTTCCAGAGCACCCCCCCACCCGCGGCTGAATCATCAGTAACAGTTTTGTTTGGAGTTTAAGAGACAAATTACTGAACTATCTTCTGATGTCATATCAGATAATAGATTTAAGAAAGCTGCTGCAGACTTGTAATATTTCTCCTGCAATCTGTTATTCACCCTGTTGACATGTTTGATTTATGGAACACAGAAAAAAAGCTCAGTTTGTGTCTACACAGAGTTCTGCGAGTTGTGTCTCTTTACTCCCACACACACTTATGTCTCTGGAGAAACTCTCTGCTAATGTCTAACTAAATGTGCGTGTGTGTCTTTATACTCCTGCTTGCCTGAGCTCTGCCTCTTGTGAAACTTGCCGTGTCCTGATGCACACGTGTATCCCTCGCAAAGGATAAACACTGGTATGGTGAGAGAATCAAAGTAGCAATTATTCATATGCAGGGACCCTCTAAGTTTTCATCCTGTCACACTGTGTTATCAGACCGCGTGACTAAGCAGCAGCCACTGTAGACTGAGAAGCTCAGTGCTTAAAGTCTGCTCTGTCAGTTTGAGATAATTTGGTATTTGACAGATGTAACAGATGGGTGACATGTTAGGGGAAAAGCTTAACCTTTCACTCCTACAGTGAGAGGATCAGCTGGCTCTATAGTGTCCCTTCAGAGGTAATGGTCACTGCACATCAATACAAAGTTGTTCTGAATGGTCACTTTTATCCTGCGATGCAACACTTCTGTCCTGATCACAGTGGCCTCTGTCTAAATGACACTATCCTCCACCCACAGGGGTTGAGGTGGTTTGATGAGGATGAAAATGATGTAAATCGTGCACTTTGAACTTCACAGTCACTGATCGTTAACCTAGCCAAACACATATGGGAGGTTTTGGACTCCCAAGACTCACATCATCCCAGTAGAGTCGAAAAGACTTGGCGAATCTCTAGCAGCGTGTGGTTGACAAACTTTACCGAGACACTTCTTTTTTTCTTTTGTGCCTGTCAGTGTAATTAAAATTCAAGGTGTATAACAAAGAAGCAGCAGCCACAGAGAGATGTTATGACTCAGATTTGAATTCACTTTAGAAGATTGCTTCTCCCACACCGTTACTTTGAGAAAAAAAAAAAGATTATCTCAGGTTTTATTTTCCAAGCTCCAGCCTTCTTTTATAATAACATTGTACCCATCATAGTAATGATGATCACTCAGTCAGATGCATACTTTCTAAACAAAAAACGAGGGTTTGTTTAGAAAGTCTAGCTTTGCAGAAAATGCATGTAATTGTCTTAGCAAGCCTACGCAGAGATGGGCATTATGCAACCACCAAGTCGCTGAGAGGCTTACAGAGTAAAACGCCTTGTGCGCATTAGAGCAACCTGATTGGCTGATCCATCCAATAGTTTTTCTTTAAATCACAGAGACATGAATCTTTGAGAAAGTTATTTTTTAAATTCACAGGAATATTTCACTAGAATGCACTCAAGACACCATCAAAGGTCTAGTACACTTAGTGCAGCCTAAAGCAGTGCTCTTAAAGCGTTCTCCTCAATAGCGTTCCTGCTGCAGAGTACCTTGTCTTATCAACCAACTAACTAGATATCGGTCCACATTATGCCACGCTGAGCCCAAAGCAGCTGACTTCCTGCGAGGACTATGATTGAATCCTTGGAAGCTGTTCCTTTGCCTTTGCCTAAAGGTTTAAAGCATGTACCAGATAATTGAAACGTCCACTTTAAATATTATCATTATCTTTGTTGCATATCACTGTCCTGTCCCTGCCTTCCCATTGCACCTGCCTCTTGGCTAAAAACTAAATAATCCTACAAAATAAAATAATTCCAAGTTTTTCTATTTACATAAATCATGAAGATTCATTGCCCAGCATCATCAAATACTTATTAGTCAGGTGGTAGTGACCGTGTTGAAAATTATGATTATGATGTGTGTCTTGGTGGTAATGTAGGATGTGCTTGTTTGTCCCAATAAGGTTCTCCTGCTTTTTCTTTGCCTTCTTAGATCAGCCGCTGCCTGAAACCTGGAGGTCGGTTTGTCTCCGTTACCTTCGCCCAGCCTTTTTTCAGGAAACGGCTCTATGCCCGTACGGAATATAAATGGTCCATCAAACATCAAAGTTATGGAGAAGGCTTTGAATATTTTGTGTATGTCATGACCAAAGGGGAGAAGCTCAGCCCGGAAGATGCAGCTCTGGAGAAAAAGCTGCTGCAGGACACCGAATCTCCACCAACCAGGATTACTACAATAACAAATGATGATAAGGAAGACTTCCTGGCTAATATTGACCTGTAGGGTGACTCTGATATGTAGGATTGCCTTTATAAGTAATCTTTATATTGTGATTTTTTGCAACGGGAAACTGTTAACCAAATTTCTGGCCTTACTGTTTTTATGTATTTATTAAGAATTTGTAAGGAGTAACTATTTTATACTGTTTGATGTACTAGATATTAGTTTTAAAGTCAAATTTTATCAAGATACCGATATATATTTGGATAAATGTTCTGCAAATGTAATTAAGATGTTGTAAAGATAAGAGAACTGCTGTATAAATGGTAATTGAAATCCATATTTTATCTAAAAGTTTGAGACAAAATCCTGCGTCTGACCAGATGTATTCACAATAGTTTAATAGACAAATGTGTGCCTTTTGTCGTTTTGAAAACATGATTAACAAATGTTACTCTTAATACATTTCTCATTTGCAAAGAAAAAGAAATGGCTAACTGATCTGTTGTCTCAATTCTTCACGGCTCAGATTCAACAAGGTGCTGGAAACATTCGTCAAATCCCATCTCAGAGTTGCTCTGTTGGATTGAGATCTGATGACTGTGGAGGCCACAGCAGCACCATCACCACCCTGAACTGTTAACAGAAGGCAGGATGGATTCATGCTTTCATGATGTTTACACCAAATTCTGACCCCACCATTCAAATGTTACAGTCCAAATCGAGGCTCATCAAACCAGGCAAAGTTTTCCAGTCTCTTATTTTCTAGTTATATTAAGACTTTTTGAACAACTGGCACCCAGTGTGGTCTTCTGCTGCTATAGCCCATGTGCTTCAGAGATGCTCTTCTGCATACCTTGGTTGTAATGAGTGCTTCTTTGAGTTGTTGTTCCTGTCAGCTTGAAGCAGTCTGGCTATTCTTCTCTGACCTCTTGCATCAACGAGGCATTTTGACCCACAGAACTGCCGCTTACTGGAAACTTTCTCTTTGCCTTCTCGTACATACAAGAAAAGAGTGGGAAAATCTTGTGATTTCCCAGATTCGGGCAGATTAAAGCTAGGACACGAATAATTTGGAGCTCTCACTTTTGCACCATTAAGTGTGATTTCTATCAAGAGTAAGTTTGCCTTTATTCCAAAGATTTGGACATTATGAGAGAGAGACAAGACAGTTGGACGCAGAGGAATCGCAAAGACAGTTTTATTGTCCTTTAGGTGATAAAATTTGATTTAAAATATAGAAAATATGATCCAGTGATGACTTAACTGCTGTGCACACAGGTAGACTCACTGAATGTCTCTCACTGTCTTAGACCATATAGAAAGAAAATAATAGAAACAAATGTCTCTCAGTGAACAGCGATGATTGATAACCACCTTCACCTTTTCTCATAATTACAACATCAGGAACTTGTAATTACGAGAAAATTGTTATACTTGTAACAGAGCTGGCTTTCCTGTCATTATGAGATACAGAAGACACATTCGAATTATGTAAGATAAGACTTCCTATTTGAATGTGGAGAATGCGCTTCCACAGGAAACCAAGTAACCGTCCTGCCTCTGAGGCGGACTTTTGTTCATTTTTAACATGTTTATTGCTGCGTCAATTAGTGTAATTATGACATCATCAAGAAGGATTTGTTCATAGGTTAACTGTGACTCATGGTGCGACTTCTTTCTGTGTTAATATGTTCCGTCTGTGCTGCTACTACACCAGCTTCGGCTCTTCTTCAGTTCGTAATTGAAACTTTTATCATTTATAAACCAATTTCACATCCCAGTGTCATGCCTGTCTCGACAATATATCAGGATAGTTCAGCGATCTCTGCATTCTGGAGTGCAGTGCTAGTCTGCCAATGTTATGCAGATTGCAAGACAAGCTGGCATGTCTAGACGTAGTGCATACCAACAGCAGCAACAGCCTGCATGTAAAGTAACTATTAGAGTCTATCAATATGTCAGTCACAGTCTCCCCTTTCTGTTGGGGTTGTTTGCATGAGCCCCGTGTCTGCTTTAGATTCCAGACAATTGCTGCTAATGGAGATATGCATATTTGACACACCTTTGTGCACATACAAATGTACATACAAGTAATAGCTTGCCCTGCGTGCTATTTGTTGAGGATACATGAGATGAAGTGCAGGTCCTATGATCTCTACTGCTTAAATATAGACAGGAGAGAGAGGGGAGCGAGAGCACCAGGCGTGCAGACAGACAGGAAGGCTGGTGACTGGAGGGGGGACCACATTAATAAAGTAGAAATCATTTATTTTTAATTCTCCACTGAGATCTAATTACTGCCTATTTTTAAAACGTGGAGGAAAAAAGAGGTGTGTGATTTTTTTTTTCTATGCCTTTGTGTTCAATCTGGTTTTTTTTGTTGTTGTTGAGTATCACCAGTTTATTATTATTGTTGTTGTTTTTAATAAACCGTAGCTTTGGTTTCTGAGTTTGAGGTTACAAAACAGCCTCACCTCAAGCTTTGCTTCACAGCTTCTCTGGAGTTTTTCATCTTGTCATTCCCGAGGAAAGAGTTCCCCCGCTTGTTGATGACTTAACTGATTCATGATTGTTTCAAGTGTTGTTTCCTTGAATGTAATCACTCTTAACAAAATAAATAAATAACATAAAAAATTTGTGCCGTGGTTTTGATTTTTCCTTTCGAAACTTGTCTTCTTTTTGGTTGTTCTTTTCCTCTCAGGTTTCTTAGATGGGGTCTCCTGTCATTGTTGTTTGTGTCTCTGCCTTGTTTTGTTTGTCACTTTCTTTATGCATGTTCAGCTCTTTTGCATTTACTTGTTGCCTTCCTCGTTGTCTTCCTTGGCCTCATTGGTTTCTCCTCTGCCTTGTTTCCCTGGTATTTTTCCTTTTCCGAGTCTATCCTGTTTTCTCACTTGTGGGCTAACCTGTACAACACAGCAAGTTCAACATATCCGGGATATAAAAGAATTCATGTTAGCAGCTTAAGACGAGTCAGAAACATGGACAGGTCTACTGGCAGCAGAGCAGCAAAATTTGTAAAGGAAGAGCAAACTATAAGAAAAATCAAAAGAATTAAAAAATATGCAAGTATTAAAAGAACCCACTAAAACAAGGTGTGGGTGATAGAAAAGCACTACGTGCACTGTGTAAGCTTTATCGTAATATGAAAAAAAAGCAAGAGTTGAATTTTATTTTAAGCTTTTGTTGCACTGCACAGAAATATTGTTTTTTATTAACTTTTGAACAACAGGGAGAACTGGGAGTTATTGATGACTATAGAGGTCTTATGCAGGATTGATGGTACCCTGTTTGGCATAGAAAGTATAAATGATGGGGGTAGTAACCAAAGTCCCATTCAGACCACCAGACTTTTCCTTCATGGTGTTTTGAAATGTAAGAGGGCTGAATCTCACTTTGAAACCAAACTCTTAAACTTTTATTGGCTTGACAACAATTTGCTAGTACCAAGTTGCTTGCCCATGAGTATACCCAGTTGAGGTCAATTTTAAGTCATGTCTGCACATTCAGAATCAAGATATGCATCATCATAACTACATTTTATCATCTGAAAAGGGTCCACCTCACAAAAGAAGTGAGAATACAAAGGAAAGAGTCAGCACAAGTGTCTACATGTCATCCTCTTCCTTCTTAACATAAGCCTTATTTTCTGAACTGACGTCAGGGCTGTAACTCACAAATAGGTGCACAAACACTTATTGTTAGCAGATTAGACATACGACCCTTCTGTTTCTGAACAGCTGATGACAAAGCCAGCTAAATAATGGCTGGTTATAAGCTAACATTGTAGCAGCTAACGTTAGGCTCAAGTGTCCTAAAAATCACACTTTGTCTTTGATAACAGTTTGATTCCATTCCAAGTGTCTGAGGCCAACAATGTTCAAACCACTTCAAAGACCTTTTCACTAAAGCTGGCTAACTGTAGCTAACAGAGGCTAACTGCAGCTAACAGAGGCTAGCAGCTAATGGCGGTAAAAACCTCAGTGCTTGCCAACAGAAAACTTCAGGATATCTTTAACAGCCACCATAACTAGGATTATCTAATTGAATTGGGAAAGGCAAGAAAGTAGAATTCAGCAGTCTCCAGTCTACTGGTGGTGAGATTTAACACACTGTAACTTTAACAGTCCCAGGAGTGATAAAAAGCCGTGGTTGCGTGCATTTCCACCATCGACACTCTGTGGACTGATTTTTTTAAAGTTTTTGGAAGGTTTACATCGTGTTACATCTGTGCAACCAATGCAGCATTTCATAAAACATCATACCAACAGCCGAGCATGGTGGTGGCAGTGTGATGCTCTGGGGCTGCTTTGCTGCTTCAGCAGGACTCCAGCCATGAATTCTGCTCTCTTCCAGAAAATCCTGAAGGAAAATGTCTGGCAACCAGTTCATAAAGGTCAAGCTCACTTGGGTTATGCCAGGAAACACACCAGCAAGCTCTGAATGACTCAAAAACGCGGAGTTAAATAAGAGTGAGATACTTTGACGTGACCTTAAACTGTCTGTTTATGCTTGAAAACCCTCCAATTTGGCTGAATTAAGCAATTCTCCAAAGAACAATGAAGACTTTAGCCAGTCACTGCAAACATTTGATTGAAACTCTTGCAGCCAAGGGTGGCACAAACAGTTACTAGGTTTGCAGGGGAATTGCTTTTTTGCAACAGAGCAAAGTAGGTTTGGATAACCTTTTTACATTATTAATAAATGAAATCATCCTTTAAAAACTGCATTTTGTATTTAATCGGGTTAGCTAAGTCCAATATTAACATTTCTTTGATCTGAGAAATGTGAGTGTGCAAATATCTATATATCTATATATCATATGGTATCATTTTTTAGAAGTTAAAGTGGGTGTAACATTACCACCCTTGTGCTTTCTGTTACTTTTGGCTTTCCCATTACAACAAATACTTGCATACACTTAAAAATCTGGGTAAACCCCACTGGATAGTTGTCTGACCACTATCTGGTTTCCATGGTGACAAATGGCTGTAATGCCCTTGCTCTGTGAGCAGCAAAGTTCAGGTACGGCCTGGCACCTGTTCAATGTGCATAGCAAGAGGGTGCTTATGTAATTCGTAAATGGCAGCGGGTTTGATATTGACCACAGAGGCTGCTGTGGGGGCAGCAGCCAGCCACTCTGCAGCTCTGGGACATAACATTTGATGGATTCAGCACTCTGTGTGTGTGGAGGTTGGGTATGTCCCTGTTCATGGAGTTATATTTTCTGCTCTCTTGTCCCCTGCAGCATGATGCCATCTTCCCCACTTCTTTCTCCTTTGGGTTCAGTTTTCTTACTTTAGTTTGCTTCCCGTCCGTATACGAATAACTTCCTCCATCCTTAAATTTAATTTTCAGCTCTGTGAGTTGGAATGACTGATGTGCAGTAGCACAGACCCCGACAGTGAGATTTAAATCGACTGGGCTAGTATTATATAACCACAGAGTTAGGCAGAGGCCGTACACAGAAGAGGTTTAAAGATAA